TACGTCCCATCTGTTCCTCTCCAGATGTACCAAGCGTCAGCGGGGAAGTATTGAACCAAAAGCCATTTCGCGTGACCAGTGAGGCCGAGGGTGCCAATGGATGCGACTAAGAGCAGGATGGAGCTTATGAAGAGTATGCGATGAGAAAGGCTGGAACAAGGCATCTTGGTGTTGGGCCGGGGAATGTCGAAGGAGGCAGAAATGGGCGTTCGCGATGAAGAGAACAAAGCGAAGCCTCCAAGAGATGATGTCCCTAGAATTACTTCGTATTGATTGCTAGTATCACCGACTACCCACAGTCTCAAAGACCTGCGTTCGGCCAAACCTCGGTAGAGACGTACGTCCGTGGCTGTACCCTATCATACAGTGAGATATACGTCGATGGATACCATTGCAGGAAATGAAGGACTACAGCCCCCTATCGTGTAGCGCATGTACGAAAAGAACCACAGCAACTGGACAGAATTTGATTCATGTCAGCTGTATGCGCAGCATTTACATTTGTCGGTGTTGATGTGGTGAGCAGGCTGGCCTATGGAGCGGCTAAATTGCCGGATCATGTCAGCACCGCTTTGATTTGCGGGGACCAGAGCGAGGCCTACATAAGCGCAGCAGCACTGCCACTTCAGGGCGCTGACTCGGGGTCAGTAGGGCCAGTATTAGTCGCACTGCGCAGATGCTGCCTCGCTGACTGTCGAACATAGACTCAAAAGTAAGGAGTGCATGCTTCGGGTGACCGGTAGGTGCGCTGGCATTCATTTCCATGGGGCGACTTCGTCTCGAGACATTGGCTGAACGTCTTACTCGATGGTCTTGAGTCGAGGACTAGCAGCGGTACGTAAGCCGACCAGACGATGCATTGCTGCCGAGGCATTTGCATACAATACTATACCGCTGCCCTCTTGGCCACTTTCATGGCCTACTCTGCGCTCCTTCCCGCCTTCCTTTCTCATCGCCGGTCCTCTGCTTCGTGAAGCGGGACGCCACCCAATTCTGCGGTGCCATGCTGCCCATCGAGTTCGCCTCCATTTATGGTGTGTCCGTGTTTTGTCGCCGTATGCGCATACGCCTCCGCATCAGGGTATCCGTCTCTAGTCATTTCTGGCGTGCCATACGGATTCATAGAATCACCGTCGCTCGACGGGACAGCAGTCCCCGCGGAGTGGCGCTTGGAGCGCTTGAGGATGTAGAAGATAGCGACACCGGCGAATGCGATAACCGCAAGCCCTCCGACGACGGCACCCGCGATTATGGATGTATTGATTGAACCACTGATTCCAGCAGGAGGTTGATTCTGCTCGCCGGCCGGGTTCGACGTTGAGGATGGGGTAGGTGCCGAGATTGACGGATTGCTATTCGATGCAGGTGTACTGGACGCTGCCTGTTGGGACGCGACTGACGTTGAGTCCACTACAACACGTCAATAATAAGTCAAATATAGCGTTTGCGCAATGTCACGTACCATTGGCCGGAAGCGCTTGGTACAGTGTCGTCGACATCAACGGATGGCTGCCTGTCCAATCGCAGTAGATACGCGTGTACGCGTCGGAAGCGCCAAAAGTGGTGAACATGATGTCCGAGTAGCAAAGCCCATAGTCTCCGTCGCTGTCCAGCTGGTTAACGTGGCCGAGTCTACGCGAGACATGCAGCTCAACTTACCAGGTACTAGTTACACCTCCAGACCCATACACCGTCGTATGTGAGCAGCTTGTCCATGCCTCACAACCTGTCTTCGGTAGGGGGGAGGTCGTGGTGGTTCCATCAACCTCGAAAGCGGATGACGCTTTGCACGACTGATACAGGCTGCCTGTTGTAAAAAGGTAGCCGTCGGACTGAGGAAATGTCTTGATCGACCCTATTGCCAGGTCAGATAAGCGCAACTCGAGATGGACCTCGCATGCCAGTGTACTTACAGACCGGCTTATCGTCTTGCGTGCCAATGAGCTCGTATCCCATAACCACGATGCCATTTGCAGGGCCTTGCCTTGGGAGCATTGCAGGAGCTGTGGGTGCAGGCATTGGGGCATGTATCAGTGCCGCAGCAGCGGCATTGATAGAGACCATTCGCAACAGGAAAGAAAACATGGCGATGTGTAAAAAGTGTCGTATGGGACAGAGCACCAGAGCACCCAGCGCATGCACTGCTCAAGTCGGTGGAAGGAGAGCGACAGAGACACTCTCAAGGTCCGCGACCTCGTCGCAAAGTGGGTTTTGTCTTTTGGACCCCAACCATCGTGTCATTTTAGATACGCCCGACTATCACGACATCCTGGTCGTGTTCGACGGCTGTGAGTGGGTGCATGAGGCACAGAAACACGATTGAGGTTTAGGGGATATGCGGGGCGTAGCCTTCGAGCACGGGCAGCGTTGGGCCGGGGGTTTGAGAGGCGGATAAAGTGCGACTTAGTCCATTCATGGTTTGGTTGGCGCCTGCCAAGCAGGCGTTCCGTCGTGGCGGGGCTGGGAGCCTCCTAATCCTAGGTTGTGCATGCAGCCTTCCGCAAATCTCTGCGATAGGGATCTCAATGTGCGGGCAAAACTCGCCGGTCGATACAGGGCTGCAGTGCGGTCGTCGCTCTGTGAAACTGTGCAGCGATGCCTTACAATATCTGGTCATCTCAACGTCGAGCTGATGCAGGCACGGTCTGTGTCTCCGAGCTCATCCTTCCGCCCCAAATCGCAGCGGATGCTAAAATATGCATCAGTCGGCCTACTAGCTACGCGCCAGCCGAGGCATACAATACATGAACCCTTCGACGCCACATGAAACCTCGTTGGAACGGTTCGTCGCATTGATGGTAAAGGTGCTGCAACCGGATGGCGCACATCGATCCATCTTTTTGAAGTCAAAGTACGTTCGCCAGCAATCGTCTTTTTAGCGCGTGATCTTGAAAGACAAGGAAAACTCTTAGGTGTGTCCTGAGGAACTTGTACAGAAAGACATGCTTCTTCGTATATATGTATAGCATGGCCAGGACCCCAGGCTCGTACTGAGCCGCAAGGTGGGTCCTCAAAAGCAAAACCAGGTGCCAATTCTCTTGCTCCTCCCTTTCCAACCCTTATCAACCGGCTCCATGTCTTCTTTCGTATAGACATCGGTCTCAAGATCCATTTCGCTCGCTTTCCTAAACTTGGTCTTCTTCAGAAGTTTCCAGCCGACGATCATCAATAGGAAGATAGGAAGTTCTAGGTAGAAGCTAACAAAATCCACGGCGGCAAACTTGGGGCTGAATGACGACCATCCCTGCACTAGCACAATAAAGATGTTTAAGAAGACGCAGATGTAAGGGCCCCAAGGGTACATCCAGTTTCGGAAGGGTAGCAGGTGTTCTTTTCCTTGGGCTTTGAGACCTGCGCGGAAACGCAGCGAAGAGATGCCGATGCATATCCAACTCAGTTGGTTCGAGACGCCCACGATGTTCTGCAGCCATGTCCATAGCTGACCCGATCCGACAAAAGAAAGGGAGAATAGGACAATGGACACCAAGCTAGTCGTCAACACTGCGATCCACGGAACTTGGTATCGCGTCAGCTTCGTGAAGACTTTGGGCGCATGTCCGTTCGCTCCGAGTGTGTAGAGCAGGCGCGAGCCGGCGTAGAGGGCGTGGTTGCCTGCCGATATGACACTGGTGAGGACCACTGCGTTCACGAACGATCCAGCCGCTTTTGAACCGGCCATTTGGAATGCGATGGTGAAAGGCGATGTACGCGATGACTTTGTCGAGAGACCGGGATAATCGTACGGTATGTTGAATCCAATCATGATGGCCGTGAGGATGTAAAAGAGCAAGATGCGCCAAAAGACGTTCTTCACGACCTTTGGAAGTACGCGTGCTGGATCGCGCGTCTCTCCGGCCGTGATTGCGATGGACTCGGTTCCACCGTAGGCGAACGATGCCGTCACGAAAACAGATGCGAAGCCTCCAATGCCACCCACAAATGGTGCATCTCCAGCGGTCCAGAACTTGCCTCCAATGTATCCATAGTCGGTGTTCGCACCAGCATTGACTGCGATGCTCAGGATTATGAAGATGACGATAGTCACCACCTTCAAAAGACTCAACCAGTACTCCAGCTCCCCATAGGCCTTGACGTTGATGATGTTCGCCAACACGATCAGCACCCATACGGCTATGCCAACAGCATACCATGGGACGCTATCGCTCCAGTATTGTATCAGCAACTGCAAAGCGACAAGATCGGCCGCCGTGCTGACAGCATCGTTGAACCAGTAATTCCATGTCAACGCAAAACCGAATGCATCGTCCACGTAGCGACCAGCGAATGTGCAGAAGGAGCCTGCGACGGGGACGAAGGCAGCCATCTCGCCAAGAGATAGCATAGTGCAGAAGACGATGAAGCCGACGATCGAGTAGCAGATGAGTAGCGAAGCTGGTCCGCCAGTTGCGAGAGCTTTGCCAGTTCCGAGAAAGAGTCCAGTTCCGATCGTGCCTCCGATAGCTATCATTTGCACCTGCCTGGCACTGAGAGATCGTCGGAGGCGGTCTTCATTGACGAGATGGGAAGGTATCCGGTCCAGGGATTCGGGCGATGCCGCGGCGACATCATGAGGATCCTTCTCAGGGTCGGTGCTCGTCATGGTAGAAGCGAGGTCTACCGCGGTGATGCGATGCGATGTAAGAGCTGAAGCTCAGAGCTGGCGCGTGGAAGCTTTTCATGGCGAAGCTTACTTCTGGACTGAGCACGAGCGCGATACCCATAATTCGCAGGCGAGTCAGCGATCGTTACACTTCTGGCGCATTTCGCACAGCTTGCCACGGAGCACGTCATTTTGCTCGTAGCGGATTGGCGGTGCGGGGGAAACCAGAGGGTCGGAAACATTTTCACTCTCAGTTTGCATTGCACTACACCGAGAACGGTTAGCGTAGTACCACACTCGGATGGCTATTACTAAGGCTGCCCAGGGCGCGAGGAAGCTTGTTCAAAAACAACCTTGGAAGTTGGAACATTCATTCGCTAACATACATGGTCAGCGTATCTCATACTTCATGTCCCACCTTCCATATCTCAAGTGCGGTGACTTTGCCTTCGACAGCCACCGAGCCTCCATTGATCTCTAAATGGCGCAGCGAATCGCTCAAAGTAATACTCAGGGCTCCAGCTGTGATCTTCACGCCATCCTGCTCTATCAATACCTCTACCGTATCCTCTGGATCATTCAAATCCCCCTCCCGAAGGACACGGTGTACTGGGGAAAGTCCAAAGATCGAGTACTTCTCGCTGGGTCTAAGGAACCGAACCCGACGAGGATCCAAGTCGCCAATTTGAAGTTCTCCAAGCGCGCCTGTGTACACGCAAATCGTGGTCAGTTGATGCGCAGCTTCTAGTATATTCTCCTTGGCTTGCACAATCAGCAGGTGATCCGGCGCTCGTAAAAGCGTCGCGATGTTGGTGATATGTCGCAAGTCGGCCTGGAAATCAGTGCTGCCAGGTTGTAGTTGCACATCAATGGCATGAATGTTTGGCGCTAGGCCATGTTCGCCAGACATGATCAGGAATAGCTGCGCGAGCTGCTCTACAGCGATGATTTTGGATGTCGCAACCTTGTTGTAGACGCCCTATCGGGGATCAGTTTCTCATGTGTATCCACTTGCAGGCAGGGTCCACATACTGCTATGGCCAGCGAGTATGGCAGCCCGTGCCAAAAACCATGGCTGATACGGAAACTGTGCTCGATGAATTCCTCTAGTACGGGAAGCAAGTTGGGCTAGATTTTGATGAGCGTATGTACAAAGTGAGGATCGCAGGGATTGCCCTACAACTGAGGACAAAATGGTGTCTCGAAACGTCGGCCAGTCGACGGAGGTCATATCTTCTGAACTTTGTCCAAAGCCCTCGATGATGCATTGAACGACGGCCTGGTTTAGCGGCCGTCCAGCAGCCCCGGACAGTCTGTTGAACAAGGAAACAATAAGATCGAACAAGATCTCCAAGTCGTTTACTGACACAGACCCTTCCAAGTTTCTCGAGTACGAACTGGGAAGTCGAGAGGCAGCTGGCACAACGTCTTTACGCATGAAGCCGTATTTGGGAGACCGCCGCTGGCGAATTTTCTCACCCAGCCTGAACAGAACATCGATGAGGTCCTCGTCGTCATCCTCCGAACGGAGACCAAGATTTCGGAATGTGCGCGAGTTACCAGTAGCCATGCTCCGAAACAATATTCGCACGTCATCTACTGGGCCTCTTTCTCTGGTGACTGGCTCACCGCCCTGCCACCTGGAAACTTCGTGCGAGAGAACGCGATGATTGTTTTTAGACAGCATATTAATGCCGCGAAGGAAGGTGCCGCTTGTCATACGTTTATCTTCATCGACGGGGAACGGGAATGATCCGTAATGTACCAATATCCGGTAAAGCAGTGGTCCGGCCCTCTTGATTTCGTGGGGCACATCGGGATTCCGTTGGACCAGGTAGCGAACGAAGGTATCAACCGTCCAATCTGCTTTAGTGAGCAAGCGACCCTGTTGTGAGCGGACTACCTTACATGGAGGCCCGCCTTCGTAATCGCATGTTGATTTTGCTTCAAAAAGTTTGCGCAGCCCGTTCAAGAAGTTTTCTGAATGGATATACAGTTCGTCCAATAACAGGCCCAGCACCTGGCCTGATGACACGAATCAGTACTTTGTTCAAAGGAATGCTAGTGTTCATCACCTTGCCCTGTAAACACGTGCAGGGGATCAACCGGTGGGCCGATGGTGCTTGAGGACAGCCCCATGGGATGGGTACGGGCACTTCAGAAAAGGCACGGAACAATTGAGGGATGTCTTCGATTATGAATTGATAGGAGAATCAGTGTCGAGGCGACGCATGCAGATGAGTGCGGCTGTGGCGCGCTCCAGGCTTCCATCTCCCGCCAGCGGCCAGGCGTCCAGCGGCCAGTCCCGAGCACCACAAGATGCGCGCACCGTCCCTGTTCCTCGGCAAGCATCGCAACATCATACTTCTCATAGAAACATCTTGATCAAACTCCTTTGATAATGTCCGCAGCCTTCTCCGCAACAGCATACATCGTTGCCTGCAAGTGCGCCGCCGGTATCAACGGCAGAATCGACGCGTCCACCACCCTCAATCCTTCCACGCCATAGACTCTCAACTGCGGATCCACACATCCACCCAACTCTTCCGGCATCAGCGCACATGCGCCGCTCGAATGCGCATACGTTGGATTCAAAGCAGCCGCCTTGATGCTCGCGTCAAAGATCTCATCGTCGGTCTCAAACTGCGCGCCCGGCACGGCTTCGACGGGCGCATAGCGCTGCAGGAGGGGTGCGGTGGTCCAATGCTTCCTGTTCCAGCGCACGAGCTCACCAAGCACTAATTTATCGACTGGGTTCTGGAATGCGTTCCGGACGACGATCGGATTTGCTGATGGATGCGTGGTGTTGAGGGTCAACATACCGCGCGAGAGAGGTTTCTGTACTGCAGTAGCTGCCCGACCCCAGGGTTGGACCGGGTATTCACCCGTGGCCGCGTCGTCGGAAAGGTAGTGCTCGATGAGAATGTTGCGCTGTGCAATAAAGCCCTTCAGCAAGGTATCGATCTTTGAATAGCGTTGCGGTAGGTAGGTAGTGGCATTTTGCTCGGAGATGAGGGCGGTTATGTTGGCGTACTTGTCCGAGAAATCCTTGAACGCAAGAAATAGTACAGCATTGCCTCGCCCAAAGGTCCATGGACCCGTACGGTTAGCTTCGTACAGTTCGGCAGCGGTGGCGTTGAAGACTGGGTCGGGCTTTGTGACGAGCATGTCGGGATTAGGGATGGACTGATTGGAGAGATTGAATTGCATGTACAAGGCTTGGTGATCCTGGAAGTTCGAACCAACTGCCGGAAGGTCTTTCTTCACAGCGATCCCAGCAGCGGATAGGTCATCCTTTGGACCGATGCCTGACAGCATGAGCAGATGCGGCGTAAAGACGCTCCCGGCTGCAAGTATGACTTCTTTCTTTGCGAAGACAGATGCGGTTAAGGATCCGGTGTTCGATGTATACTTGACACCACTTGCCGCGAGCGTAGTACCGTTTTTGAATAGAATCTCGTCCACGTGTGTATTGGTCATAAGATGCAAGTTGCTTCGTGATTGAACTGGGTCGTAGTAGGCTCTGCGAGCATGGCTTCGCTGCTTGGTGGAATTATCGATGGAGTTTGGCGTCCAGAACGTGCCAATCGGTCTAATGAGACCTTCCGGTGAGTGCGGTATGTCGGTCCTGGTCACAAAAGAGGCCATGATGTCGACGTAATCCTCGTACTGGTAGTTCGGTATCGATACTTTGACTGGACCGTCACCATACCTATGTACAGATTAGCTATCACCCAGCTAAACCCTGTATGAGCACATACGCATTGGCATCAAATGTCATATTGAAGTGCTGGCGAACTGCTTCCGAGGGGCCATCAAAATGAGTAGACTTCTTGAAGTACTTCGCGAGGCCTTCATAGCCCCATCCCGGATTCCCTAACTGCTCCCATGCATCGTAGTCTGCATCGGAACCTCTATCCCATTGCATTCCGTTGACCACTGAGCCACCGCCAACAACATTACCTACATGCACCATCCAGGTCTTGTTCTGCATGAAAGGCTCTGGCGCAGACGTAATGGGGTAATAGTTCTCAGCGTTGATGTTGGCAAAGTAAGGCACGCTTGTCGTGGGTCTGTTGTCGATGACGCCATTCTCAATGACCAGAACTAAGACTTGACGCTGTTAGTCAGGTGAATCATTCTGCTGAGAGGCGCGTGGTGCTTACCGTCTGCATCTTCAGTCAAGCGATTGGCAACGACGAGCCCGCTCAGCCCCCCGCCCACTACAATGTAATCGTAAGTTCCTGGCTCCGAGGATGTCTGCCGAGCGCTCACTACCGCCGCTGCGGCTGTTGAAAGAAAGCCGATGAGACCGACGAGCGAGCTGAACTTGAGCAACGGCATCGTCGTGACTCGTCAGGCTCAGCGACGGTGGAGTCGATACTGAATCAACTCTTACCGGGGCATCGAGACAATTAAATGCTCAGCAGTACCATGATTTAGCCAGGGTGACGGTTAGAGCTCTCAACATCATTGAACCCGGTCTGCACGTGACAAGCGGTGTGTTGCATCCGAGTCGTTCTGGACCGACAAGTTTCCAGTATCAACAAATGCATTCGCATGGTATTCATCTCGGTGTCGACCTCCATTTGATGTTGTAATGCTGATCGTGCATCCCTCCGATGCGTGTTTCCAGAGGAACCCCACTTTGGCGCCTGCCGAGCAAATCACGAAGAGTTAACGTGTGGGGCGCCAAGCGGCGGCGGCGGCGCGTCTTCCTCCGCGAGAACCAGCCTTCCGAGGTCGCATGCGCCTCACCCAAAACACTATCTTCCGGCAGATGTCTTCCTTGCCTTGATGCAGCTCCATCGATGCCACCTCTAGCAGTCGTATGGCGAAAGTTAAGAGAAGAACGCAATCATCAGCCGCCGGGTGTAATGTAGAAATCGAGCTCTTTTCCCAACGCACACGTCCTCGGACTCACGCAGGTGCCAACACAGCGATTGACATCGGTACCTGCCATGCATATGCGGGCTATGCGTGTCTTGGTATCGACATGGCCTACCCACAAGTAACGGTAAAAATATCCGAGATGTCTGCTCCCCTGGAGTGCCTGGCCCGGCAAATGTCCTGTGGCCACTGAGAAACAGTCGACAAACACCATACGCGCCAAGAAAAGGCGAACAAATTGGCCGGGGCGAAGGCTTACGTGTGATAGAGATTACTGCTGTCATGTCAAGAGGTACTGTGCCTCAATGAACCAGTACCCAGCATGCGACGGATAAATCGCTGACAAGGTTTACACAGGAAGAACAGTTGGGGCATGCATGCTTCTAGGCAGAGAAAGACACATGTCCGTAATCTTGAACTCTTGACAATGATTCTCTTGTTTCGTTATGTGGCTGAAGTTGGCTTTCATCTTCCATTCTTCGATCTCACTGCTGTGCATCGGGTGCCAGATAGGCCACCAACTCGTACAGGCGATGAACAACTCCGCTATGGCCGTTTCCATCGTTTCCGCCTTTCACGGTGCGGGCCGTCTTTTGAGCGATCCGTTTTGGCAGCCGAATACACTGGAGAAGATGGTCTACCAGAACCGTCTCGTCTTTGCGAGCCAGCTCCTCAATGTTTATGCTATGTGGATTGTGAAGCTTTCCATTTGCACATACCTCCTGGCACTCAATATCTCAAAGGGATACCGTTGGGTCATATGGGTGAGTGCACTACGACTATATTTGACATGACCCAAGCGCTGACATCAATCGGCTCCGACAGGCGACGATCGTTTTCGTCACTATCTTCAATTTCCTACTACCCGTGATACAGCACTTTGGTCTTTGTCGTCCTCTTGCGTCGAGATGGGACATATGTGTTACCGACAAAGAGTGCTGGTCGCCGGTAGTGCGGATAGGTATTGCATATACCCAAGCCATTTCCAACATCATCACGGACTTGGTGTATGCGACAGCACCGATCGCATATCTCCGGTCTGTCCGGCTCAGTAACCGTACGCAGTGGAGTGTGCGGGCTGTCTTTCTTATGTCTTTAGTGTAATTCCCTCGACTCCATGATAGCCAAGAGCAAAGACTAATGAGCAACAGGTGTACAGCCATATCCGTCATGAAGCTTTGGGATTTCCAGCGGCTTCAGGGTATGAAAGAGGCTTACTACGAGTCGGTTACACTTTCTATTTGGTCGATGACGGAAGTTTCCGTGGGCATCGTGGTTGCCAACCTACCGCCGCTGCGCAAATCTTTCGACAGCCTTCTCATTCACGTTCTCCCCAAGTCATCGAATGACAAATCGGCTTCAACTAGATTCCAGAGCTTTCATCTACCAACGTACCATAGGCATCTCGACCCCAGAGCTATAACCGAAGGCATGGCGGGCCGAAGCGCGAGACGGCCCTCCATGACTACGATTCCAGGGGACCACGAGAGCGACAAGGCGATCCTGGAAGATGTTCGATCAAGAAGGAGTAACGACAGCCATCACATATTGTGCACGACACACATCAGCGTGGAAAAAGGTCATCGAGGAGCTTAGACTATTACGAAACCACAAAGATCAAACGTCATTATCAGGCTATATATTGTTGGCTCTTCGGATCATGTTTAGAGACGCTTAAACGATTCATTGTCACGATCTCGTCATAATCTATATACTAGGCGTCGGGCACCTCCGACCCTCGTTTGCAGTTAGCAGGCCACGGATGACTCTCAAATGCGCAGAACCTTGCACCTTTCTCCTGATACCATATCCCATACGCTCATACACTATTTCCAGCCGCTTACTCTGTCTGTTCCTGCTCCTGCAAGTCCTGTACCCTCCTGTCGGCCTCAGCATCAGCTCCCTTCTTGCTTACAACAGCCTGCGCAATCCACGTGCTAACAAGCACCACCGCGCAGACCAAAGTGGGAATCAACATCCTCCTGCTCGCCTGCGCTTCACTGCACATCTGCTGGCTGTGATCATCATACCCACTGGAAAGCATTTCGAATATACTGCAAGCAGCGAGCTCGCGCGTGCAGTCGAAATATGGGTTGTAGTATGAGTATGCAGCACTTGGTACGCAGGCCTCGCGTTCCAGACGTTTCTTGGTCTCGAAGGTTATGATGGTGGAGGTAAGTGACATGGCGAATGCGGCGAGGCCGAAGAAGATTGAGCAGGCTAGTACCCAGGGGAAGCGTGAGCCAGCGGTCTTGGGGTTCTGGAGCAGTTGTCAGCAGGGCCTCTAGAGGTTGGAGGTAGTTAGGCATACCTTCTCCTTCATCATCATGAACGCCACCGTCAGCCATCCCACGACTCCGGCAACCAACCCAACACAACCGCTCACCAAGACCCAGATGTCGTTGCTCGTCACATATTGCATGTAGACTTTGTTGAAGTCTCTGTTTCCGGCATCATACTCCTCCCAGTACGCCCTGCGTGCGGGTGAGCCGACGGGTCCGTAATACGTGTAACTGCCTTCGGGATAGCTGGCGTCCATCGACTCGCTGTAGTGTGTGACGAGGGCGATCGTTGCAATCGAGAGAGCGACCAGGGTTGTCGACGCCAGGAGGGACGTGGCTTGCAAGGCCTTGGACAGGATCGACGAGCTCATGGCTGTATCGTATACAGTAGCGTTGAGATGGAGATGTGATAGATAACTTGGAAAGGGTAGAGGTCGGGATGGAAGTACGAGTGCGATGTGAAGCACAAGGCTGGCAGCCCATGACTACTATATAAAACCACGACAAAGCTACGCGGGGTAGCATTGCACCACGTTCTTCCACCCGCATGCTGGAACGGGACCGGAGTAAGAAATGCCAAAACGCACGACTGCGCCTCCGTCAGGCATCCCGCGTCCGATTTCTACGACCGCAACCCGACCGCCAAGCCCGTGCAGCGCGTGCGATGAAAGAAGAATGCGCAGACATCATTCGCGCGGATACACTTGGTGCTGCAGTGTATTGGAGCGGAGTCTAGGCAGATCCTGACGTCGTCATAGCGACTACGCCGGGTTGTGGTGTTGTTTCGCCAATGGATCCTGGACCCGAGTTCGCTACCAACGCCACGTACGGTTACTTCGACAACAGAAGATTGATCTGTTCTTTTCGGTGCTCTCGTACTCGGCTCTACATTCGCTTGTACTTCGCACAGTCTACGTGTCGGATTGAAGAAGTCTGCCTTGGAATTAACCTTACGAGAATGCACGTTGCAACTAACACGGTCCAATTTGTTGATCAACATTGGACTTTCCATTGCTTAGCTTTGCATTCCTTTCCCATAATCCCTTCATATATCATCCATCTCAATACTCATCATCATACCTCTGTTCGTCCCTCCCCTCATCATACGCACTCTCCATGTTATCACCAAACTGCTCCACACCCTCCGTCATATTATCCCACTTATTCTCAATATCCTCCGGTATATCCTCCACAGCCTGCACCTTCTCGCCCGTCCACTCCGCCGCGTTTTCCGGGAAGTCTTCCACGTCTTGAACGCCGTTATCCCACTTCTGCTCGACGTCGTCGCCAAAGTTCTCGGCGCGCCCGACTTGCTCGCCGGTCCAGCCCGCGGCGTTCTCGGGGAAGTTGCTGACGTCGTTGCCGAATTCGTCGACGCCGTTGGATACGTTGGCTTTGGCGCTGTCCCAGCCGTCTTCTGTGAGGTGGGTTAGAAACGATGTAGGTAGGTTGGGTGGGTGAAAGATGACGTACCAATCTTGTCGCTCTCGTGCATCAGCAGTGCACCGCCTGCAACACCTGCGACACCGGCTGCGGCATACTTCCAGCCATTACCGCCGCTCTTCTCTTCTTGCTGCTGACCGCTGCGAGTTGGGTCGTACGCGCTCTGCTGGTATGCACCCTGGTTGCTGTAACCATCCTGGCCGTAACCATATCCACCTTGTGATGGTGGAGCGCCGTAGTTGCCCTGTTGTTGCGCGTAGCCGGGTCCGGGGTACTGGAAAGTTCGCTCGCCGTTCTGCTGGTTCACGAAGACCCAACGGTTCTCGCGTTGATCCCACTCAGCGTACCATGGTGGTGAGACTGGTGGTGGTTGCTGAGAGTGCTGTGGGGGAGGGTACTGTGAGTAACCCTGCTGTTGTTGGGGTGGGTATTGGCCATAGCTTGACTGCTGCTGTTGCTGTTGGTCCTTTGAACCAGAGCTGGTGAAGTCGGAGATCAATTCGCTAAGGAAACCCATGATGAGTATGCTGTGGGTGTTGGGTAGAGTGAGAAGTTAGTGGAAGTTGTATCGGAACTGTTAATGTGGATGCAGGTGGGGTGAGGTATTTATTCAGTGATCTACGTATGCCCCTCTTACGCATCAATCGGTCCACTACATCTGCAGCTAGATCTGTTCGAGATGGCCCACGATGCGTAACAAATGCGTACGGCCGGACCTTTGAAACGTGGCGCAATCTCGGTGAGGCGGTGAGGCGGTGCCGCTCTCTCCGTATTCGGCAAAAAACAGCCACGATGGCCAGTAACGAGAAGTCGCTACAAACATGTCCGCTTCCATTCCATCAAATTCAATTCTGAGGATCTCAAACGCCAACAAAAACAGCGATTTGGATGAGGCGGCCGGCACTCGTTCACAGGATGTCAAGCTTCTTTAAGCTTTACTTGGCACGCGGATGGTCCCTCCCGGATGGGCTAGGCTCTGACAGCCCCACTTAAGCGATGATCTTGAGGCGCAGTTCAGGGGCATTTAATGACGCGACGCGACGCGTTGCACTGCGCCACCCGGCCGAGATGATGAAGAGCAGACTGCGAGTCCAATGCTACAATACTCAGCTACGCAGGGATACATCTTTATTGAACGCTTTGATCTTTCATTGAAGGACGCAACTGAACATTTTCAAGGTTGCCTCCTGCAACCTTCAGTGCATGAGCGAACAAGGCTCAAAAGGCTACGTTGGCCGAGGGTTCATCCATGAGTTTGGCTTCGAATGTAAACACGTAGATTTCGCGCGCTCGTTCAGTTCTACCCTTCCATTACATGTCGCTACAGATCTAGTCGGATATCTCGTAGAATCCCTCATCAGATGCCCCGCCAGACTCCTCGCCAGACTCCTCGCCAGGTTCTTCGCCAGCTTCCTCGCCAGCTTCCTCGCCAGCTTCCGCCAAGCGCCCTCTCTCTGGAACGGCCAATCCTTGCACCACCGCGGAAAGCCGTCACGCCAGAAGATGTAATACGGTCCGAAGTTGTAGACGATTTCTAGGCTCTCTCCAGGCTCTGCACTTCTCTTTCTGCTAGTCCAATACTCGAAGTATTGGATAATACTGGCGGGCAGTTGCTGGCCACTGAGCTCGAGATACACGAGCTTCGGTGGCCAAGGTGCCTGTTCGAGCGTCTTTCTCTTCAGGATGTTCGGTCGATCGGGAGTGGTGGTCAGAGTGATTGTTCGTATATTATCGCATTTCAGCAATGCTGAAAGCGTGAGGTCAGAGACTCTGGGTGCACCATCGATGCGCACATGCTTCAACTTCGGCAGCGCTTCAATCATGGCCGCAACCACCTCGTCCGTGATCTCTAGAGCCTTCTTACGCGACGGATCGCCTAAATATACCGACCAGATCGATCTTCGGAACTCCCATGGAGCTTCGGTTATTCTTTTTATCCTCCGGCTGTTGTAGGTAGTACGTCAGCAGAACGTAGATGCAACGCTATGAGGTAGATGACCAACTTATAAACATTAACATCGCGATGGATATACACCATCGCCTTCCGCACCTGATTGAATGTTTCCGGTCTCCAGACTTCCGCTGACCTTATGATCACTGAGAAATACGGGTCCTCAATGCCATGCCAGCCTATTGGCTTTTCGGGATCGGGTCGTCGACGTTGCTCGTTGACGTAAAAGTTACCTTCGTGGTCACACCCGTCCCAGAAAGCTAGCGGCCACTTGCGCTCTCGTGGATATTGCGCGTGGTTGATCCATGTAACATTCTCGACCTTCTTTGGGTACCCGCGGACCCAATCCCCGGACTTTTCTTGCTGCGACATGGTTTGGCTGAAAGTGGTGTGAGGAGAGACGGAAGCTGCAGCACATGGGCATGATGGGCAAGCGAGCTGCGGCCAATGGCGGTGTAGCCAATCGACACGCCACATCGTGGCCACGTGACCACGCGTTTATGACCACGCCATTATCCCAAAGCGACAACAAACCACCTCAAAACAACTCGACGCGCTGGTCGGACGCACCTAAAATCTGCACAATGGTCTGGGAAGCGACACTGCAACCTTAAGAAATGGTTCACCGTATTACGGTTCAAAGTCAGCGCGAGGGCGAACTGGATGAACATCACGCGGCATTCCACAGCTATCAAGGGCGGGCCTTGCTGAGCAATTCTCAATACCCTTTCCCACTATGACAGATCAAATACAAGACAGCAGCCATGAGCAAGTTTAGAGAAAATCGCGCGACATTGTGACGTGTTTCGTCGCCTTCACCTCGATTTTGGTCGGCCTACTTTACCGCAGATTCTTCTTATACCCATAGTCATTAGCTTGGAGTATCGCAAACTCTCTCGGATATCTTCTCCTCAACAATCTACTCTGCGCATCCCTTACATTACTTGCTTGATCACTTTCCTACCCCTACACACTACCGGCTCATCATGAAGCTCCTCGCGATCTTCCTCCTTGCTCTCACGGGCTTCTTCGAGATCGCCTCCAGTGTCGCTATTACTGGCGTCACCGACGACATTGCCGGATCTGCCGTCGGTGGAGACTGTCACAACGGCGACGAGAAGTGCTCCATCCTCCCGATCATCCTCCTCGGCCGCCACTCCATCAAGCGCTGCATCAACCACAACTGGGTCGACCACGAGATCTGCAACGCCGGGGTTAGCTGTATCGCTGACCCTTCACCTCACTGTGCCCTTGCGACCATCAACGGTGAGATCGCTGACAAGGACGAGACACCTGTTGTCGCCGCCAACGAGATTTCATCCAGACAACAGGTCTGTCTTGAAGGGACTCTGCAGTGCGCTTACCTCGACCCTATTAAGCGGCACATCATCCAACGCTGCTATGGCCGCAATTGGGTGAACACCAAGGTCTGCGAAGCCACCGAGACCTGTATCGGTGGAGCTGCGCCCCAGTGTGTCGCTCAGACCGTTCTGTCTCGCGACGAGGACGCTGATGAAGACACCGACGAACAAGACACCAACGCAGACGACATCGACGCCGTAAGTCCTATATCCACCCTTTACATTCCAACACCCGTATACTAACATCCCCCAGGACCTCGCCCACAAGTCCGACCTCCCCTGCACAAAATGTAAGAGGATGCGCGATGATTGCTTCAGAGTGGGTCCCACTCACCTACTCCCCCACCGCCCTCTCCTCCTCGCACTGACTAACCTTGCCGTAGAACCATAAATGTAGAACAAGCTACTGCCGCCACGAATGCCTCAACAGGATGAAGAGGTATCTTGTTGAAGACGGTCGACATGGACGGTATCGCGGTACTTGTCAGGACTACTGCCCGCAGTTGTGTCGGTGATGCGGTAACGTGGGCTTCGGTCGTTTATGCGTTTGCGTATCGATGTCTTCGAGACCGAGACAGACGAGGTGATGTGGATCGATGGTGCAGTCTCCGCCGTGTGCGAAGCGCTCTACAAAAGTTGAATTGAAGGATTGGGAATGGTGGCGTTGAAAACGATGGTACCGCTTAGGCTAACTTATACCGTGGCATGGCTAGTTCATCTCGCGCAATGTGTAACTGCTCTTCTCCCCTTTTGCGTCTTCGCTAGTTGTTTTGCTATACCGAAGTTGACTCACATGTCCATGTTCCGTTCTTATCAGCCATGTCCAAAGGCATACGAAGAAGAACCCAACGACCTTCATAACAAGTCATGCACAGAAGAATCATCGCATTACCCCACTCCCTCGAATACTTTGGGTATCTAACCTAATCAAAAACCACCTTCTTCCCTGCCGCCGGCCCCTTACCCCCAAGATCAATCTTCAACTTCTTGCTCTCCTTCGCCAACTTCGCCGCCTGCCAACTAGGATGCAACTCACCCTTGTCATCCCTCTTAACACCCAGCCCCATCTTCCTATCCTTCTTATCATCTTTCTTGCCCAACGGCTCCGCGTTACTTCCGCTCTGCTGCACGCCCCGACCGCCCAGCGGCTTACCCCGTCTTTGTCGCTTGTCGTCTCCGGCAACGGCGCCGCGTTTGGGATCGAACTTCACATTCTGCTGCTGCTTCTCGAGATGTTTGGCTTTGGCGCCGAATTTCGCTTCGGCGATCTTTTGGCGCGCGCGTTGGCCGCGGCGGTTCTTGCGCGGTGCGTTGTCCGCGTCTAGGTCCGAGGCTTCGGATTCGGAGCCGGAGAAGTAGGCTGCGTGGCTGAGGGCGGGGAGGAAGGCGGAGGAGGTGGGCTTCTCGAGGGCGGCTTTGGTTTTGGTCTTTTTGGTGGGTATGGCGGCTTCGGAGGAGTCGGAGTCTGAATCTGAATCGGCGGCGGACTCGTCGGAGGCAGGAGCTACTGATCGCGAGATGGCTACAGTGTCGCTGTCCTCTTCTTCGTCGTCGCTCGAGTCGTCCGGTTGTGCAACTTCTTCCGCTTCGTCCTCGCTGTCGCTCGCGGCTTCCAGATCGGCGTCAGGGTCGTGTTCGCTTTCGCTGTCTGCGATACTAGGCGGTCGCTCATCGCCGGATACCGAGCCCTCGTTGTCTTCTTCTCCCGAGGACGGCGCAGCTATCCGCGCGCTGAAGGCCATGTACGGGTCGTCCGCCTCGTCGCTCGCGTCCTTCATCTCCACGTCGTCCTTGTCAGCAGCCTTCACCCTCTGCGCCTTCCTCGCCATCTTTTCTTCTTTGTGCTTCTTCATCTCCTCTGTTGTGTATTCCTTAACGATCTCCTCCACCTTTTCGTTGTCCTTGGCTTTGTCCACCCCAAGTATGCCCTTCAGATCCTCGATAACCTGATCCACGGCCTTCTTCACCTGTACGACTTTGAACATTCTCGCGGTGACATTGAGAGTGCTGGTATCCTTGCTTCCTTCTCTGATGCCGGAGATGTATTCCTGTAGTGGCTCCGCATCTTTCAAGCTTTTGACCCGTGATAAAGTTTTGCGCAAATGCTGGTCACCCAGCTGCTCCAAGTTCAGCGCCTTGAGGACATTGTACTCGGCGTTCAATCGAAACACTGCCTCTTTTTGTCCCTTCTTGGTAGCATACTTCTTTCTGCGACTGTACTTCTGGCGCTCGAGCTGTGAAGCATGGCGCAGAGCTTGGAGCAGCGGTTTTTGCGCATCTTCGAGGCGCTTCTGGCAGTACTTGGCTTGTTTCGCGGGGTTCATTATGACTGGAGGAGGAAGGTTGCCGGAGGCGGCAGTCGTCTCGCGCTTTCGTTTCGGCATCGTGGGCGTTGTTTGGCGGTGTTGCTGGTGTTGTTGGTGTCGGACCGCTGGTGGAAATTTTGGAGATGGGCGCGGCCTAATCGATAAGCCCGTGGCCAGACCTTCCCCATGTGGCCGCCACACCAACCTTCTTTCACTCTCACTCTCTACTCAACTTCCAAGCTTGTTACTGTCATCACACCACGCGCACTGTCGGGCACTTCTTCACGATGCATTGCAGTCGTTTCGAAGAAGACATATCGAGATGCATACTACAAAGATAGCTAATCACACCAGCTTGAGCGCTCAGCGCGCCTTCCGTTTCCGTCACCCCACCCCTTCCTTACACATCCATCTCAATATCTGTCATCATCATCTTCTCCTTCGCGTCTGCTGCTGATTATAGAACCGCGTCTCTGGCATCCACGGGTGCTGAGGCGGTCTGCTATCAGGCGCACCTCCGCCCCGGCCGCCATCAGGAACAGCGGGTTCAGCGTCAGCATACTCGCTTCGGCTCTGCCCTCGTGGCCGCTCACCAAACTCAGTCCGCCCTCCTGGCTGCACATGAGGATCCGCCTCTCCGGGTTGTGGATCGCGGGCGTTGTTCATAGTGGGCACCTGTAGGAACTCGGGTCGCTGCTGCTGCTGCTGCGGCGGCGGCGGTGGCGGCGGTTGAGCATTGCCCTGGCCTTGGTCCTGAACTCCCGGACCTCGAGCTGGTGGTGCTTGGTTCGGTGTGTTAGGAGCACGCTGCGGTGCAGGGACGTTAGCATTGTTGTTCCTCCTGTTATTGCCAACGGGTACGAAGCCTGGCGGACTGCCGGTCGGGTTGTCTGTCTCATGGTCAGCTCTTTCCTATCAGTTCTGCTTACTACACGGCAGGTTGTACGATGTGGCATTCCTATCATCTCTTCGCGCGGCCTGGGGTGTTTCGCTCTCTGGTCTATTTAATGAGCTCGCCGATTGTTACTCCATTCTTCCCAGATTGATGGGACATGCTTGCGCACCCAGAACTTCTTCGTTCGTGTCATGGTTCTTGGTGAGAATGCGTTGGGTACAGGAAGAAAGAAACAGCCACAACGATCTGATACTGAGGCATGATGACTGTCGGACAAAGGAAGAGGAAGTACTGATCCAATACTGGACGCGGAAACAGCTCACGGAAATGTCACTTACCACGTCTTCCTGATCCATTGCGGTATCGTCGCCGAGCACCACCATATCGATAACCGCCATGACTCTCATCGGTATCGTAAGCGTCATCGTACATGTTCCTTCCGCGTCTTGGTTCTTCGTATCCAGGATATCCTCCGTATGTAGGATATCCTCCGTATGCAGGATATCCTCCATATGCAGGGAATCCATCGTATGCAGAATATGAACCTGCTTAGTTAGCAGTGAAACAGTAGGCTATCCTGATTAGCTTACCGAAGTGAATGGGAGGCGGCGTCCTACTTCCCCCGAAGAGTCGCTTAAAGAAGCCCATGCTGTTGACACTATGGATACAGGAGTTGGATGTTGAACAGAAGACGCAATTGGGGGGTTTCGAAGCTGTCGTCAGTAGGAAGAGTTCTTGTCCAGGATTGTCGACGAGTGGAAGAAGAATGCTTTGTCCCGGAGAAGCGCAGTGGCACTATATGGACCACGACTCAAACGGTGAATATGCAGCAATCTTCAAATTTACTACTCACAATCGCAGTTCTTCGTGAGATCCTATCCATCGACGACACCCTTGATATAATGGAAACCAGCGCGATCCACTTTACGCCAAACGCTCCCGAAATTGAACCGTATTCCGCGAACAACAAAACACAAAGCTGCAGAACCCATGATCGCCCATAACAATAGCAGAATGCCGAGAGTGCCAGCACTCAAGACTTTTCCACCCACCCTCACACGTCTAGTCAACGCTTAAAGAAAACCGTCCTTCCCGATAGATCGTAGTCCCTGGTTTCGCCCACCGACCTGTTCTTGAAATCCATTTGGCCGGGGGCGGATCTGTACTCTTGAGGTTTCAAAGTGCGCTTGCGAACCGAGTCGCGCCCTATCTCAGCTTCGCGCTTTTCCGTGGCTTCCTTATTGGCCTGCCTAACGAGCCTCTCGGCGTGGCTTTGAGTGTGGCGCTCGTTCTCCTGGACACTTGCGTTTTCCCGTTTCGGCCCATTCTTCTTGCTCACCACGCTAAAGATGTCGGTTTTCTTGTCGACAACTCTGGGGCGAACTTTATATTTTTTCTTGGTCACTGTATTGACGTTCAAGACTTCGTGCTTCTCATTTGGCTTCTTATTTGATTTCAGGTATAAGGTTGGCATCGTGCTGATGTTTACGAGGGATTTCTTTGATGAAGGTATACGAGTCTTGACTGTTAGTGTAGGCCGAGAAAGTGCTTCCAATAAAAGTGAATATCGAATTAAGGGCCGTATGATGTGTTATGGAGAAAGACCGGGTACCCTGGTGTGGCATTTATAGGTACATGGAGCTGAGCGTGCGCTCTTCGTAGACGGTATGTGACATCGTGCATTCAAAGGGTCGACATTGGATGGGCATGTTATTGACAGCATTGGCAGGCCGTGCGAAATACGTCTTCCAGAAAGTTCACAGTCAGGGCACTCATGGCCTTTGCATGTATGTCATACTGCGGTCAACTTCAGTGACTGGCTTCAAGTTCTCTATTCATCTGTCCCTTCCATTGCAACGTTGAGTAACATACACGGCGATATTGGTCACAATGGCAGCGATGAGCAGCTTTGTACGTATCACAACGCACTACAATACGTGTTGACTTCGCGAAGTGCAAAATACTCGAGAAGCCGTCTGGAGCATGATAGCAAGGGTAAGTTCATTCTACATCAAACGAGATGCTCTGCATGACTAACGCAAAGTGACTCACAAGCCAGTCTTTGCGTAACACACTTATCGATGAGTCTACCTGATCACCAACTCTACGCCTTCCTCTACGTCGACATTCCCAAATGATCCAGCACCTAATTTGCGACTGTCGTTCCTGCTTTACGCAACAGCATACGCCATATCATACCTATTACACTTCAACCTTGAACCCCATTAACCACCGATACCCATCAAGCCTGATCGCGAAACCAATTCGGAGGATACTTGCCTCCGACCTTCCGTTCGTATGCAAGCGCTGACTCTTCATCTTCTTCCTCCAGGCGAGTTGTCCTCCTAGGCCGCTCCACTTTCTCACGTCGCTTATCTCGGGCCTTGGGCAAACGACCGCTTTTCCGACCTTGCTCAAGTTCTTCGCCCAATTTCTCATACCCCGTTTCGTATTGAGGCGTAGGTGTCACGTACGCCGACGGATAACTTGCACCAGCAGTTGGATAGTATGATTGAGCGGTGGACGGTGGATGTGTATATCGCGGGTCCAGGTACGGCTGGCTCGCATACCTCGGATCTTCAGCTGGGTTGACGTAGGCAAAAGAAGGAGCCTGGGGCTGTGAATAGTACTGCTGCTGGTACTGTTGCGGTTGCTGATGGTAAGGCTGCGAATATTGCGGATACTGCGGTGGATACTGTGGTGCATATGGCTGCCCGTACGGCTGCGGGTGATAACGCTGCTGTTGTTGTTGTCGTTGCTGCTGCTGTTGCTGCTGCTGTCTATTCTGCTGCGAACGCTGACCCTTTTTCCCAGATGCCTGTTCAGCTTCGCTATCCGATGGGTCTGGGCGCATTACAGGCAATCCAGCGGCAGTGGAAACCGAAACGACGCTCATTGTGGGACTCTTCTTGCGCCTCGATGACCGACGATGCGTAACATCTTTCGAAGCTTTGGCAGTATGAAGGGCGTTGTCGCGGTACGCTATCATCGCATTGTGTTCGTTTGGCCGGACGGTTTCGATGCTTGATACCGAGTCACTGCGATATCTCGAAACCGACCTGCTACGGACCGAGCGAGATTGGCTTTCGGGCCTGTCTTCTTCGTGCTCATTGTAACTTATTCTCACTCCAGCTGACTCATCGTAGGAACCTTTAGTGCGAGATGTAGTACTGCGACCACGGTCATCACGAGACGCTTGTCTGCTACTTTTAGAGCTGCTTGCTTTACTCGAGGCTCGTCTAGAAGTAGGCTTGCGTTCGCTACTAGAATCATGGTCATTGACGTCGATATGAGTCCTGGCTTTCGACGCGGAGCTGACGCCTCGTTCACTCCGACCAGGTTTGATGCTTGAGGCTCGTTTCGAACTTGGTACGAGTTGCATGTTTGACTCATAGTCATTTTCGTCGATATGACTTCTGGATCTCGAAGCAATACTACTATCTCGCTCACTGCGACCCAATTTGATGGTACTCCTTGTGCTGGCAGCGATACTGGGGGCTCTTTGGGAGACTGAAGAGGTATATCTTTCGCTGGGCAGAACATCACTTGGTCTGCGGCTCCTCGTACTGCTTCCCACTTCGCTTGGGCCGCAGCTGATTATCGATTTGGCGTAGTCTTCATGGGCGCGGAGTTGAGCTTCGCTGATAGTGCTGCTAATATGTTCGCTTCGAATGCTTGGTACTACGCTAGCCGTTCTCGACGATGGAGCTCGAGAAGATGGGTCTCGTGAAGATGGGGCTTGTAAGGACGGTGCTCGCGAAGGATCCCGGGATTGGCTCCCTTGCAGGTATTCCGACGACTCTTGTTTAACGCTGACGCCGCTAGGTGCGATACTAGGACTCCTAGATACAGGCGCGGGTGGTACATGACGGTCCTCCCGTGCTGTATTTCGGGCGGCACTAGCGACACTCGGAGAACGGGACGGCTGCAAAGTGTGTGTCACGCTTGAAGCAGTTGACGCAGGAAAAAGCGGGTGCTGGTCTGATATCGTACTTGATGTGACGGTTACAACGCTTGGGGCGCGATACGTTAGAAGTCTTGACTCAGACGCAGGCGTCGTGCTTTCGGGTACCCTACTCTGAGCGGCGCAAGAGCTATCTCGTGAAGGGGGTAAAGACGGGTATATCTCGGATACCCTGCTGGGAGGGGCGCCAACAGCGCTCGGTGCGCGAGAGCTATCTCTTGACGGAAGCACAGCCGGATGTCTGCCCGAGGCCGTACTCGGAGCTACACTGACAACGCTTGGGGTGCGAGGGCTATTCGAATTTTGGCCCGGTGATGACACATTGTGTGGAGGATATGAGTGATGCTCCGGCGGTACGGCAAGTTGTGCAGCACTGCTAGTGCTCATAAAACTCCCAGCATTGCTGACTATGCTTCCTGGGTGGGTGATATGAGTACTATGAGCGAGGTACGGGGTGTGCGAAGGAGTCGTGAGGCTCGATCTTGTTGTTGCTTGAATTTGAGCGCCACTGACGGAGCTTACAGCATGTTGACTATAAACCACATTTCCGGGTGCAGGTCGTGCATAGGGCGTCCCTTGGGTATCGCTTGATGTCGAGCTGGCGAACCTCGTGTTAGGTAAGTGTATTGTAGATGGGCGCCCAGGGACGCCTGGTGCCGGTCCGCTGGCTGCAGGTCGATCTGGACTGCGACTCGTGGCATGCTGAGTCTCTTTCCCTCGCTCTCTAGAAACCTTTCCCTGGTGCTGACTCGACTGCCCAATTTTGGATTCTTTTCTCCCTGTTTCAGTGAACTCGAGAGAGCGGCCCTTAGGACTGTTGCTGTATTCGTGTTCCCGGCTCCAGGCCTTCTCTTTTGGATGTTTACGTGTCGCGGAGAAGCTCATTTCAGTCCCAGCCACGTGTAGTATTTCATAGACCGTCTTCAGGTAAGAGTCGTTCGGGAAGTGGTAAATTAGTTTACGTGAGGGGTGGCGGAGTTTCTCGTGGCATACTTAACTGGGCTACATGTGAATCTTCATCATGAAATATACCCCAGGTCATGGAATACTATGACTGCTTGGATTCACTGCGTCAATACAGAGATTTGACAGCTTCCATATTTTCGTGAGCAAAGAAAGCCTCACGGATGACAAAAGTGACGCGTGAATCATACTACGTATTTTGTATGATCAACAACTACGAGAACCTTTTGAGCATGCGTGGAGCTTGACTAAGCTACGTCTTCTACCGTCATTCATCTCCAGTCTTGCTGTCACCTGTCACCACAAAGTGACAAGGTGTACTGGTATTATCAAGTCTCATTTGAACTTTCGCGCACGAACTCAAGAGGGCATGCGACTCGCGCCATGGCGGGGATCCATGCTCCAGTATACATTGAAATGTTTAGATCGATATCACAAGATCCTGTCTTCTCTAATACAACAATCAACCATTCTACCAAGTTCGATATTCACCCGAATTTCTCTTATAGCTCGGAGACCTAAGTTCAACGTTGAAATGTCTCTCGCCCTGGGTATACAATCTCTCCTCGGTCGGGACGTACATCCGGAACCGATCTCTATCCATGTCTGCACCGGCCATGTTCCTCTCCTTTGCTCTCCTCCAGTGTGCTTCGCCCACACTGATTGCCGGATCCTTGGGCCAAATCTCATCGCTGTCGCAGCTTCCGTCGAACTCTGCATCGTACCTCTCATATTGCTCGTTCTTCCTATAGCCATGAGAGAACGAGGCATGGCTCGCGCCTGGATCCTCTGATCGATGGCGAGAGCTATAGTTCCGGCTGTTGTCGTTTCTTGGGGTCTTATCGCTGCGGTCGTGACGCCTGTGATGGCTCTTGCTGCTTCCTGCTACGCCGCCATCCCGCTGGGTGGACGTATAGTGGCTTCGTCGCGAGCTACTATGATCAGAATCTGTTGCGAACTTGGTCCATGTACCACCCGAGAGCGGTGGCATAGGTGCTTCAGGAAACATTGACCGTTCGAACGATACGCGGCGTGATGATTTGCGCTTGTCCGACCCGCGGTCTCTTGTCGTCTTTTCAGAAGAACTTCTGGGGGGTTTTGACTTCTTTCCTTCCGCTGTGGCTTTAGGGTGGGCTTTCTTCCGGGAAGAAAATAAGCCTGAAAGCATGATGTTTGATGAATGCAGTGCTTCCGGTTGCGAGTATGACAGTAAGTAGATGGTTGATGATTGAGAAGTCTTTCTCAGATGTTTGACGAGTTTGCAAGCAGGGGAGAACGTTGTATTCTATAGCCAGCACATGTGAAGTAGCTTCTCGCACTCCAAGTGCATGCTTCAATGGGCCAGCAGTGATTTCTTCGAGTCATCGATAGAGTCACACATGGAGTCATACTTGGAGCCATTTGTGGAGACGGAGTTAGTCATGAATGGATGTCGTGCCCAAATCGATGTGCAACTATTCCGTCATTAAAGGCTAGAGGAATACGGCAAACTGTCACAACAAAGTCGCACAGATAACGATCAATGGAGGCTATCAAACAATTTGTGATACCTAGGTATGCTTCTATCACTAATGGACTTTGAATAGGTTCCCAGGGTGGAATACAATCGTGATACGAAAATCATTCACTACTTAAGAGCATTTGTAGCGAACGAGCGAGGGGGTTGGTTTGCTGATTCCGAAAACTAATTGTGGAAACCCCAAGTAATATTTATGCATGATAATTACTAGCAAATATGTCCTTGTTTTGCATGAATTTGGCAGATCTTACTATCGACGCCCACGCCTCTTGCCACCGCCGAAGCCAGCACCAAAGCCCACACCGGGAATGTCAGGGCCCATACCACCGG